AGGGGGCTGGGGGGAGTCTGAGGGGAGGCAGGAGCATGGGAGCACCCTCCGGTGTTTTGTGAGGGGAGAGAATGGAGGGGCCTTCCCGTCTTTCTGAGGGGAGAGAGGGGGATTCTCCTGGGATCTGTGAGGGGAGAGAATAGGAGGATTCCCTGGGACTTCTGAGGGGAGAAAGGTGGGGGGGGCGTGGTGTTTTCTGAGGGGAGACAATTGAGTGACCCCCCCCTCCCCTTCCCTGGTGTTCTGTGAGGGGAGAATTGAGTGATCCTCCTGTATTCTTTAAAGAAAGAATGAGGGGATTTCTCTGTTCTGTGAGGGGAGGATGTGGGGGACCCTCTTGTGATTTGTGAGAGAAAAAAAGGAGGGGATCTTCCTGTGCTCTGTGAGGGGAGAATGGGGGGACTTCTCTGTGATCTGTGAGGGAAAAAAAGGAGAGGATCTTTATCTCTCTGTGTTCTGTGAGGGGAGAAGGGGGGACCCTCTTGTGATCTGTGAGGGGAAAAGAGGAGGGGATTTTTATCTTTCTGTGTTCAGTGAGTGGAAAATGGGGGAGCCGCGTGTGCTCTTTGGGGTGACAGGGGACACAGGAATAATCCTCATGTGTGGGGACAGGGAGGATGGGGCTGCTCAGGGTCAGCCCTGGGCAGGCAGAGCAGGTGCACAAGCAGCAGGAAGAGAATCGTGAGCACCACAACACCCACATGGCTGCTCCTGGGGGACTTTGCTTTTCTTTACAACCTTAAAACCACGCAGCCAAGAGCCCTGCCCTGAGCTCCTGCTGGCACAGGTGGGGTTTGGGGTGCAGGGAGCCAGGCCTGCAGGAGCTCAGAGCGCTGCCCCTGCCCCTGACAGACGCCTGGACCCGCCGGTGGGTGGAATCCAAGCACAAACCTGACTACGGGCGCTTCGTGCTCACCGCCGGCAAGTTCTACGGCGACGCCGAGAAGGACAAAGGTGAGCCGGGCTCCCGGCAGGAGGGGGGAGAGCTCCGGGCCGGGGTTTTATCCCCCGTTTCCCCACCACGCCCCACGTCCCGCAGGGATCCAGACGAGCCAGGACGCCCGGTTCTACGCCCTGTCGTCGCGCTTCGAGCCCTTCAGCAACCGCGACAAGACGCTGGTGGTGCAGTTCACCGTGAAGCACGAGCAGAACATCGACTGCGGCGGCGGCTACGTCAAGCTCTTCCCGGCCAGCCTGAGCCAGGAGGACATGCACGGCGACTCCGAGTACAACATCATGTTTGGTGGGTGTCCCCCCGATCCCACAGATCTCGTAGGGTGGGCTCAGCTCCGGCCTGTCCCCCTCAGGGTGGGCTCAGCCCCTCCCTGACCCCCAATGTCCCCCCCAGGCCCCGACATCTGCGGCCCTGGCACCAAGAAGGTTCACGTCATCTTCAACTACAAAGGCAAGAACGTGCTGATCAACAAGGACATCCGCTGCAAGGTGGGTCTGGGGGTGCTTTGGGGGTCCTGCTGTCCCCTTTGGGGGGTGTCCAGCCCTGCTGAGCCCCCCCTGTGCCCCCAGGACGACGAGTTCACCCACCTGTACACGCTGGTGCTGCGGCCCGACAACACCTACGAGGTGAAGATCGACAATGCCCGCGTGGAGTCGGGGAGCCTGGAGGAGGATTGGGATTTCCTGCCCCCCAAAAAGATCAAGGACCCCGAGGCCAAGAAACCCGATGACTGGGATGAGAGGGCCAAGATCGATGACCCCGAGGACACCAAGCCTGAGGTGGGGGCTTTGGTAGAGCCCTGATGGGGTTTGGGGGGAGCTCTGAGGGGTCTTAGGGAGTAACCTGGTGGTCTTCAGGAGCTTTTGGGGGGGTCTTGTAAAAACATCCTGGCCGGATTAAAGGGAGAATGGAGGGACTGGGGAGTTGAGGGGTCTGGGACACCATCTTGGGAGGTCATAGCGGATTTTTGGGGATCATAGCAGGTTTGTGGGAGGCCATAGCATGTTCCTGGGGGTCCCAGCAGCACCCTGAGCCCCCTGACTCCCTCTCAGGACTGGGACAAACCCGAGCACATCCCCGACCCCGACGCCAAGAAACCGGAGGATTGGGACGAGGAGATGGACGGGGAGTGGGAGCCCCCTGTGATCCAGAACCCCGAGTACAAGGTGAGGCCTGGGGGCCGCAGGGGGGGCTGGGGAAGG